TTACTGTATTCGGAAGAAGTTTCACTATCATGGAAAAGGTGATTTAGCTTGTAAAAATCGCCAGTAAAGTTTCCAAAACGAGAACGTCGCGGCGTTCCTTTGGCACGTCGATCAAAGGCCTTTACTGTATCATTCGAGCTCAATATAAAATCCCAAATCTGTTTATCGATTGTGTGCAAATCGATCCGAAAATATCAACAGGCAAGGGCCCTTGACGGAAAACTAAATATTGGTCCACATCACAGAGCACTTAGCACGTGCACGCTCTATAAGAGTCGCCAGTTTACATACGATTACGCATGTAAATCCAAGTTTGCTTAGGAGTTTTGACGAAAAATGCAAAGGGAAAGTGTTTGCGAAGTTTTTACGATTCAGTTTATTGAAGATCTAAATGGATGTTTCGGTTTTAGCTATAAAATTGTTTTACGATCGGCTCGAGTACGAGAATTTGAAAATAATAGGTTCTAGTACAAATTTAATTTAGCGCTTACTATTAAGCAAGAAACCTAATTCATCTGATGTTTACTATTCATTTTTTTATTTACGCACATACTTCACCAATTAAACTATTTTTACGGATACACACACACTGTAAAATATCATACATACCGTAAAATGTTCGAAACGTCGGAAATAGACTTATAAAAATAAAAAAATATTTGAAATTAATAATTGCAATTAATTAAAAATTTGCTTTTTGTTACAATGTACAGTAAAGTTCGGCAAATTAAATCTTTATGTGCCTAATTTAACTTTTGTCACTATTTATAATCCAGCCAGTACAGCTAATTTCAGTATTAAACACTTACTCAAACGCTAAGTTAAAAACGCGTATAATTATTATGTTTATAACTGAATCGGAAACGAATAAAAATCCCCTCAAGTTAGTTTCAACAACATATACTTCAGAAACTTCAGTCCTATGCGCACAGCCCCGTTCCCCCTCCCGATGAATTAAAAAGCACAACAAGCGATAGTTCAGTATGTGGAGCACGTATAAATACTATGTACACAAACTTATGTCTTACCTTTAGGCTTAAAGCGCGTTACAGGGGCTCGGTAAACAGATTTGGTACCATGTGCACTTTCCCCGCATTTGCTTGAAGACAAATATGTTGGATGCTTACACTAAATGCTTTCTCTTGTAACACCTATTATCGAATCAAGTGCGGTTTCGGATACAATGTATCGTGACTCATTGGTGTAAATGTATGGTAAGCGAATAATCGAATTTGAGTTTCTTTTCTAAGTGAGTAAATTATATGTATTTCAAATAATATAACCTGACTAATAATAAGTCATAATTACTAACATAGTCATAAATACAATAATCACAAAGTTAGCAAATTAGTAATTGGTTAAATTAGTAATATTTGTATAGATCTTAATATCGGTAATATTACATAGACCAAAAACAACTTATCGGTTACTTGATCCTATAACAATTTACTATTTTTATGTAATATGTAATCTAGATTAATTTTTATGTAAAATATAATACTTCCACACTTATGAAATTAAATCAAAGCGTACGTGAAATGGGGCTCATATATAAAACTAGGTTTAATTCTGTTTTCGTAAGATTTAACACAATTATAATTTGAGTATAGAAAATAAATAGAAGATCTACTTTGTTTTAGTCTTGTCTGTTTTTGTATCTCTGGTCAAACGTATTTGGAAAAGTATAATTAAAAAATATTCATATGTAAGGTTTTTGGGACGATCATCACAATAAAATATCATATAAATAATATCGAAAATAAAATCTGCTTTATTAGTGATTTTGTATCTGTCGTCACTAGGCAATATTTTTATGCGTAAATACAAATCACACATACAAATTTATTCCTAGAATTAACTTTTGAATCACATACCGACAAATTACATATGATAACATTCAATCCCGAATTTGGGCCACGTTCGTAGGCACAATCAAATAAACCCACGCCCGAAAACGCGGAAACAATTCATTCAAAAGCGATCCCATCGCTCCCCGTCAAAGGACCCGATAGAAGTAACCGGTGAACATACATATACTTGAACTAATGGGCGAAGTGTTACTTCATACGATATTCAGCGAACATAATTACTCGAAGTCGCTCGCGTCAATCAGAACCTGTGCCGCGTTCGGTAAAACTAATAGGCTGCTATGTCAAACTGATGCCGTCTCGCGTTTGCTCTTGCCTACACACGGAACTTCGCTTAGGCACATTCAATATCATTCCTTTATTTATAACTACCTGTCACCGCGCGATGTCGTAGTGATCCGGGAGGGGAAAAGACCAAAGAGAATGTTATTATAATATTGTTTTCGTTGCGACATACAAATCACGTCACAGCGATCTTCAAACCCTTTATGTTCCAAGTTATCTGTTACTATTTTGTATGCTTTTTTACAGTCGTCATTATCAGCCGTTGTATTTGTTATGAAAAAATTTTCTTACGTGATAAAAACGATTTTCATAAACATAAATTATATTCCGGAACGATTGTATACAGTTCTGACAAACAGTCCCGGGTGGGAATCGAACCTCAGATCCGAATTTTCGTAGCTTCTCGCCAACTCTGGCAAATGAGTCATCAGTACCGATATGTGACTAATTTTTTATAAATAATTAATTAGTTCATATTTTTTATAAATAAGATTTAAAAATAGAAAAAGAATTTTATTTGCTTAAAAGAAGGGACAAAAATCATTATCAATAAATAATTAAAATTTTTAATATAGTTGCTAAAAATTATTCCCGGTGTACTTAGGGTTAAAGTACTACAAAAACGACGACAAAAATAAAATTTTCGCTCATGAACACACACACACACTGGCGCTCCTAACTCAATAGTCATGTAAGCAGCATATGCGCATTACCTTTAGATACATTTACCGTCATTACTGATTAATGACGTTAAACACAACAATAGCGTTATGGCTCAGCTGCCATTCTGCGTGAAGACGATCACAGGGCCCGAACACCTCGACACGTACGGTTATATTATTGTACGTAACCCGGTTAGGTGATTTCGCTACATGCCTCCAATCCAATTAGCTATTAAGATTCGTGTCTTCAATATTAATCTAATCGCGGACAGGTCTTTGTGAGTAAACTGCAGAGGGTCGGCCTATGACCTTACGTACAATGGAGGTTTCATATAAATAGCGTGGCTACGTGCCCAACTACGCTCTTGTTTGCGAAGGACCCGTGGAAAATCTTTTTCCGTTCACACATTTGTTATTATGTTACGCTTCCTAAAATGCATGTCGCCTTTTAGCGTTGAAAAACTCAATTTATTTAAAGAAGGTGTTGCGTAGTTTTAACACGTAATAATTAAACATTTGTATCAAATTTCTTTTTTTTTCTTTTTTTATAGTAAAAGTAATTGTTCGAAACAAAACCATATTTATGTTATGAATGCAATATAATTGAAAAAGATCAAGGGCAATGACGCGTTTATATCCTTGACCAATCAATATTCATGACATTGTATAGGTAATATTTGAGATTCTTCTTTCAATGTCTATATCAAACTCTTATTTAAGTTTAACGTTGTTCAAAAAATGAAACAATATCAATGCATTTTTACGACTAACTAAATTGTAATATTATCATTTCGTTTCCCAATAGTACTTAATACTCTTTCGATGGATTTCATTAGTGTTCTTAGTCTTGACTCAGTGATTTTTTTACTAAATGTAGCCCGAAGAATCATTGGCTACAGCAACCCAGTGATATAGAATTTTAATGATACCTATTTATAATTAAAAACGGTCTCGATATAAAAAGTCTTTTTACTCTTAAGCCTTCCTATTTAAAAAGTATCACCGATACAAAAATGCAGGTCGTTTTGAAAAGACTGCGCTGTAGTGACGATCAATATCTCAATCTTTGTTCCGTGACTCGCCGTCGATGAGGACTCAAATTAATTGACACTGTCTCTTTGATGCGCCCTCACAATTAATCACTTTGTTAGACAAGCTATTTATAAATGAACACTGTTTTGATTTCTTGAATTATAACATCACTTTAACTGATTGCGGAGCTTCAAATTAACGGGAGAAGGAAAAATTCATAACTACCTCTAATTTTCTGTGTATTTACTTTAGTGTTCTGCAAATTTATTATTTTTTATAAACGTGATGAGCGTGGTGACCGTTTTCTTAGACTTTCTATTTTTTTTTTAATTCATTACGATTTCAATGCTCGTAATGACTTCCGATCGAAAATGAATAAAATGGGTGGGAATTACCATTTAGAACCTGTTTATTTATATGTATTGCTTATACGCCTGTATAAAAATGCTATTGATGTTCTTTTTTCATTCGATCATTCCTAACCATTCATTCAACGTTCCTTATATTAAATCGCACGAACGTATCCTCATATATACAAAAACAGGAAGAAATGCAAAGGGCTACATAGTAATAAACACTGACGGCCCCGCCTCACAGACCTTACTAATTGATCCCCGAACGTAACGAACCATTTTAATTTCTTCTTGCGGTGAGACGGCGCGCTTTGGGGCCACATTTATCAGGGGAATACGTAGGTATTACATAAATACCGTTCTTGTATAGATCTTGTTAGCCATTTCGCCAAATACAATGCCATTAATATAACCCAAGATCTATAAATTATATAATTGCTTCATCACTTTCGACAATGAAGACATCACAGAGAGGCACTTCGATTTTATTTACTAACATATAGACGATAATAACATTGCTTCATAAACATTTCGTTCACCATCACTCTTGACCACGAATACATAATCGTTATACAAAACTAACACAAAACTGTATCACATTATACCAATGTAATATGTAAGCTAAGTTATCCCTTACGGTAGTTATATAACAAGGTATACGTCGGGGTTTGTATTCAATACTAAATATACCTTAAAAATGATAAACCAAACTGTTCAATTACTCTAACGTAACTTTGACTTAAGGCATTGACTTTATATTTGAACGGATGTTATAATGATGCCTGTGTCTTTTGTTACAGATGAAGGAAAAATTCATAAGATTGTGCAATGGACTCGAAATGGTGACAATCAGTCTGCGCTGTTAGATATTTTTGATGTGACGCCGGGCGAACCAATCCAGGTAGAAATTATTAAGTAAAATACGATATTAACTCCCACCTCTTTTATCTCAAACAGTGAAAGAAGAGAGAGCAAATGAAAGACGTATTTACTGATCTTTATTTGATGTTGAGATTTCCATTATAATAAACATTTTTCCATTATAATTTCCATTATAATAAAGGATAACAACCCTAAAGCAAAACACTTCTAAAATAAAAAATATTAATTAGCAAAACCATTGAAATAACATTAATTATGGTAAGGAAAAGGAAATTGTTAAACATTTTTAAGAAATTTTATAAAATATTAAATATATTCCGATTTATTTTTATATACACTTTAGCGTAGTTAATTTGCAGACTGTAAAAGGAATAAATAATTTGACTCTCATAATAAGACATTCGTAAAATAAAAGTCAAGCACCATTGACAGATTTCATAATAATCTATAAAATTTTCTTGCCTATCGTTTCGCTAAAATACATCAAAAGGAAGAAAAAGTCTAAAAATATGCTAAAAACAATACCCATGATGAACGAAATAATAAAGCGGCTAAACTCACGTACAATCCACTAGGTAGATAGGTCCGAAATTGTGTATGTACCGACTAATTTCGGACCTATCGGAGGTCCTTCATCAGAACGAGTGGGATGATTTTACCGATATGGGTCTTTCAAAATGAAGAATTGAATATTCGATAATATTATCCTTCGTGACAATTCGGGGTGTATATGCAAATTTTTACATTTATAACAATTGCTTGTGCCGTCGACTTCTAAAAAGATAGCTTAGAAAGGAAAGAGTCATTAAAAGGCCAAACATCATTTCAACGATGGGTGGATTTTCATAAAAGTATACTTTACTCGAGCTCACTACCGATAGAATTGTATTAAACCTTCGCACCCGACTTCTTTCCTACAGCGCCCAAATGAGTTTCACTTCCAAAAGATGCGTTACCTCCCACAGAGATTTTGATACCCCAAGGTTATACTTCCGAAAGAAGTTTCACTCAATAAGCAAGCTTAATCTTACCCAGGCGATGGCGCTATCTCGCATCCACGGGTCTTTGTATGCCGCGTCAGACCGGCGCGTGCTTCAGTTGCGTTTGGCGTTGTGCGCGCGAAGGTACGACGCGTGCGTACGCTGCGCGCGCGACCCCTACTGCGGCTGGGACAGGGACGCTGGCGTCTGCAGGGAATATATGCCCGGGTAAGTCAACCCTCAAAGCCTAACGAACTGACAGAGAACTACGTGAACAGATAAGTGGTCAGCGAAACCGCCGATTCAGAACATAAACTGGTCGTCTGCGAGACAGTGGGACTGTCTTAGACAAGCCAGCGCATTTATACGATAAAGCTGTTCTGTTTTACCACATTGAAATATTTTTGATTTTATAATTTTGTGTGTGGCAAGGCCACCCGGCATCATCTGCATGAATAGGCAAGCTATACTTTCGCGTTTTTCCTGGTGAGTGAGATATTAAAGACCCATTTTTTAAAGATTGCATTGCCAACGCATCAGTAACTCCTCGGGTGTTCATGGTCATGGTACTCGGTAGTAGCTTAATAACAAGTGAGCTGCTTGCCCGCTTGCCAACTTTGCAAGTAAAAAAATATCAAAGAAATATGCTTACGAGTTCGCTTTTTTATCTAATTCCCATGGCTATATTTACTCTCGATGTGATATTAGATTTAAGAACTCATTATATTGCAATGAAAATATCTTTAAATATTCATACATATGTTTTTAAGTTTATGTCTTATTTAGTGAAAAAAACTGCCTCTATATCAGAGCTTAACTTGAACAGAGGCATAAACGGCAACAGAGATGATCACAAAACAAGTCTCAGTTGAGCAGAACTTAGGCACATTTCTTATTAAAAAAATGTATTAAAATAAAATTCACCTCACCTGTTAATTTTCAAACACATTATTCATTTACCTCAAACGTGGTTTATCGTTTCGTTTATGCTAGTTAACTTGTCGAAACTGACCTTAACTTGACCAGTCTAGACCGACTGTATCTAAGTTGGAAAATCGCAAACCTTGGTAAAACTTCACTTAAACTTAGTTCTAGATTCACCGAAAGACTTTAAGTTGTTCAATTGTAGTTGTCATTCAGTGTTTAACTTCTAAAAATATGTTTATTTAATAATATATATAAACTTAGTAATATGTTCCTTCTGTTCTTAAAAGATACTTCTGTCCCACGCTTCTCTGAAAATATGACTGTAACACATACAATATCGTTCTACTGCTAGGCTTCTTAGCCATTTAAGTGTCATATTATTTTCACACAATACTGCCAAAAACGAATTAACTAAACGAGTACTTGATACGTCCAGCAACAGTTTTCTTGAATCCGACACCACAATTTTAATTAAGATCTGGCCCACAATGGATGCAAAGACTTTGCATTTTAAAGCCTAATATAATTTTAATCCTTACTAATATTATAAAGGCAAGTTTGTATGTATGGATGCATGTTTGTTACTCTTTCACGCAAATACTACCGAATGGATTTTAATGAAACTTTACAATAATATAGCTTATACATATTTTTATGTATATCTGTCTTTCTGTCTGAATATTACGCCTTCAGACGTAGTCGCGGGCAGCAGCTTGTTATAACATAAATGTTGTATAATTCAAATATTCTTTGTAATATTCAATGTAGGTAAATATAATTAAAAAATAAAAAAGATTCAATTCAAAAATAAATTTCAAAAACTAGTAAAAGTCATACTTAATGGATAAAGATTGACCTCCTGGGTCCTGTTATTTAATTAACCATAAACATTGTGATTCACTAGATTAATACAAGACGTTGCAAATGAGACTGCGGATATCTGCGACTCGTCTATCTCCCGTAAAACTGTGTCGGCCACTTGGGGGCAGAGTTTACATCTGGGCAGTTTTGTAAAGATGCCAGAAGTGCTCCAACCTCGTGCAATCACATGGTACCATTACTCAAAGGAGAAGGGGCGACATCCTATTACGTTCAAGTAAGTAAAACTCAAACACGCTATTAGCGAGAGATAAAAATGCAACAGATATGTCTTAAGATGATCATCATATTTATCTTTTTCTTATACAAAATCTAGGAGGAAAGTTTGGTTACTTTTCCTATTCACACAGACTGAACAAAGGACATAACATCTGTACTTTTATAATTCTCCTCAAATTACCTAAAAAATTAACCAGTAGATTCGAAAATGGACACCGAAACTGACAATATTTATTCCCCCTTTTTATCACATCGGACACACGTACTCATAATAAATGTAATGCCTTAAGGGCTTCATTTTATGACGGCAGTTCAACGACAAACTTCGTATTCACAGTACTATTATATTAACTCCTTTAATAGTAAAGTGTGCGGTGGAACTTGCTGTTTTGTACGTCGTTTTATTTCGTAGCAGCCCGTGGCGTGTAATGAAAAGCTCAAAAAAAGGAAAACTTTCAGACTTGACGCGCTCGGCGAAAGCGATTTGAAGTGAACGCGAATATTTTCGTGCGCCTTCTACATTCAGATCGACATTACGCCTGAGTAAATTCTACGCGTGTGTCATAAAGCCGCTCATAATGAACCTCAGACAAAGTTTCGCCCTCACCTGCTTCGTGAAAACTTTCGAAAACGTCAAATTACCGAAACATTTTAGTGTAAAAAACATTTTAGTGTGTTATTTCGTCGCCGGCACCAAAACGGAGCGCGAAACAGAAACGAATGCAAGTTCAAAATGAGCGATTATTAGGAGAACGCTCGAGTCGAACACGCATGCAACAACATTAATTAAAGTGTTTCCAAATCTACTGTTATCGCACTTCCTTCTGTGTAATTAAAATGCAAGGGGCAACGTGGAATCAAGGCTTTGTTTGCCGAGTTCCATTCATACCCTCCCGTTCGCCGCGTGACTGTTAAAAGGGTGAAATTAGTTGATACTGCAATTGTTTCCTTTGAGAGCGCGCGAGACTTTTTATAGTATTTTCGGAAACGACATTTTAGTTACGTCGTCAAGTTGGTACTAGTAAATTTTGTACGTGATAATGATTAAAAGTTATTCGTTAAATACAATTTATCTAAAATATTAACGACACTATTTTTGATTGCGTTTTCAATTTGTCTCTTATCAATCTCTAATTTCGAAAGTTAATTGTGATATTGTAATTAAGAATTTTTTAAAGTTTTTAGACCAAATAATATAAATTTTTTATTCATTTCAGCAAACCAGAGAAATACATAGAGACTTCAGAGCACGGATTACTTATAATATCCGTGAACGAAGGCGACGCTGGCCGTTACGATTGCTGGCTAGGAGGGTCCTTACTCTGTTCATACAATATTACTGTTGATACTCATAGGTGAGAAATATCTTTTGTTTCCAACTATTTGACACCAGATGTCGCATTAAAGTTTATAGAATGATTACTCATTTTTCCGACGACGTAGAAAGTGCTTCATGCTTGCATCCCTTGGGAGTGTACATTAAAGGTCCTTCGAAACAGATAAACTATCACAAGAGTGGATGTCATAATTGAATAGACTTTCAGTCCTAAAGAATTCCACTAACCCCAGATGAACTGACTGCAAATCGCTACCGCGTTTCCTTGATCTTTCAAACTATAAAAGTGTTAAATATATCGTTAAATGATTATTTGCAGATGCTCCCCACCAGAAAAGAGCAACGAATACCAAAAGATATATTCCAATTGGTGTCACGAATTCGAAAAATACAAGACCGCTATGAAGACGTGGGAACGGAAACAAGAGGTATCTATTAGGTTTTATAAATTAAAACTCACTTAACTAAATTAAACTGAGGCGTGCTTGTGTGAGAACAAAGAAACAGATAAAAAATACCGACTCTCCTTTTCAGCAATGCGCGAGACATAACGACTCCAATCAGAATACGCATCCAAATGAAATAGTGTGATAGCTCCTGAACATCGCCTATCTCATGTTCCAGTCGGTTAACTACTACGCAGGAGCGATACCAATACCTTACGTGTCAGCCGGCCTCAAATATCTCAATGTATTTTCATGAGAACATCAATCAACATATATCCGCTCCAGAACCTAATGATCAATTTGATCAAGTGATTCCCTCAAGTTTTGTGCGTTTACAATGTGCGACTAACGACCGTTCCTGCAACCGCTCCGACCTCATGAGAAGGTGATTTGACGTTCTAAATTTAAATGGACACTATTTTAAATGTTTAAAATTGGAAGATTGACGAAATCGGGCGTTGGCGTTGCTTTTTTCGTTATGGTGTACATGTTTATAACGGGCAGGTTTATATGACGCTTCGTTATACAGTAAAGATAGACAGCTCGTTAGGAAACTGAATAAATACCATTTGAACAGTAAACAGTACGTGTATAAATGCATTTATATTTATCGATTTATTATTTGTAGTGTATTATTAGTATATTTTATATTTGTTCCGCCCTTCGAATCTTAAGTTTAATGTGATTAAAGGAAAGCGATCGATACGTCGGACTTTGCTAGCGATGTTGATCAATGTACAATGCCTGCTTTTACTAATGAGTGAATAAGATACCTATCGCTTCGTGTGGCCTCCGCGCCGTTTCACGGAGGCCGTAATTCAAAATCTCCGAGGGTTGTGGGAGGGTATGCCTCATTATTTTTCCCCTATTTGTGTAAATAGTTACCCTAATTTCGTTCAACTATACCTATTAAGTAAGTACGTATAGGATGCACGTCCTTAATTGTAATGGATATAATTTAAGCCTGTGATATATAACAAATTCGTTTAGAAAAAGTTACTTTTAAGATATCAACGCGGACTCGTGTAACAAAACTTACTAAATTAAGCTGTGACTTTAAATACGTTTGCCAACAAATCACGTTAGTTTTTGGAGATTTTCCATAATCGCATTTTTACTTTGTACACGACTACAAAATTCCAGATGTATTTAATTTCTCCTTTCCGTCACAATTACATTTAATGCAGCACTATTTAGCTAAACTACTTTAATATTATGTTAACTGAAAAAAAATCATGTAGCCTATATTTATACTCGATGCTTCGTATCGTATTACACATAGCTTTTTGTCGCTATTTAAGTATGTAAGATATAACAAGATTAATGGATAGAATTTTGATCTCAGAGAGAATGCAGTACCTAGCCCTATTGTAAGGGAAACATTCAACATATCCACTATTCTTTTGATTCAAAACTGTCTGAATACTTTATTATACCTATAATTAAATATGACTGATCACTTGAAGCGAAAATATTTCACAAACGATTATTATTATATTTATAATGACTACGTCACTATAGTGTTATAAAGTATGATAATTTAGCAGCAATAATTATTTAACTCTCACCAACGCTTTCTCAGTCGGGTAGAAATGTATGTTAGAACAGTGCATAAACTATCTTAGTAAGCTTTCATACTCTTTTCGTAAAAAAACACGACTATGATCTTTTTTAACTTCATTAAGTAATCTGTCCTCACATACATTGATATTCTATTGATCTCTATTGTATCGTATTAAAGATATATAATGTTACTAGTGTACTTGTAGACAGTGTTTTAGGAAATATTTCTGCATATTTTTGTACAAAGATTTGATCTTAATGTCCTAGGTAATTAGTAAGTACAATAACGTCTCCAATTTATCATCTCCTCACTAGTACCTATACTAAAATTTGTTCGATTTCATATCATAAATTTATTGTAATATTTAAGAGCTTGTATTTATATTATTGTACGAACAATCATCGATACACACACGATAATATTAATAACAATCAGATAAAACATTAATAGACGATGTTCATTTTCAAAGAATAAATATTTTTTCTAGAGGTTTATTAAGAAAATAGTGAATTTTATTCTATTATCCTTCATTTAGTCTCGTTCTATATAATAATGTCCATTGTTTTGCAAAGACTGCTCTCTTAGTTAATATTATAGTTGTGCACTATTGTTTTATATATCGTATCATTTTTGAATAATCTTATAAGACAAACTGAAATTCGAAAAAAAAATCCGTCACAAATTAGAATCCTCTGATAAAATTCATGTTAATGTTCTACAGGAGATAAGAAATTTATTACTACTATAATTATTTAACTTTAATCATGCAAACTGAAATGTACACGCTCATGGCAAAAGTCCTCAATGTAATAATAACATAGGTGCTTCAGAGATAATTTCTTAAATTTGCTTACATTATATTATAATCAGATTTCATATCATGATGTACATACACGGATCGAAATAGATATTAAAAAATGGTAAGGAATATCTGAGCTTTGTCGTTTATTACATTAAATTATGTATTATTACTTAAGAAATGGTACTTAAGTATTCTAGTTATTACGAAACTAACGGTTTCCCAACCCTTGGGATAATCTTGCGCAATAATTATAGCTAAATTTATTATAATCTGTACTAATCGACTAGCTCTGTAAAATTCATATGTTACTATACTGTGTAAGTTAAAATTTCAGGAGTAGTGTTAAGGTTTTATATAATAAATCTATGAAATGTATCTTGCAATATGCTGATGTTTTATTTATTCCTGTAAACTTGCAAAACGTATTTACCATACGATTTTTAGAACAGATAATTACAATCGTACAGTAACAACCTGTCACGTTTTGAGACTTAATAAGTTAGATGAAACCAAAAGAAGACTGTCTGTATAGTCTGAAGGGCTGGACAGTGACATCTATAGTTGAACATTACATAACCAGCCCATGATGCAAAGATGTTGAAAGTACGTATTAACAATACAGTGTGTAAATATGTACTTTCAAAATAATTACCCATTTTGTGATAGTATCATTTATGATATGGGATATCCGGTATACTACACATGAAGTGTATATACAAAAACTAAATGTAATGAAGCTTTCAAAGTTGTTGACTCATTTGGCGAAGCTGCTTAGCGATGGAATTCGACGGCGAGGGTCGCGTATTCAATTCTCATTATATACAAGCGTATGACACACAGATCCTGATGTAGATGTTAATCTGGGCATAGTTTATGTTGGTATAACACCGATATCACCCAAGATTATCTTCTAATTGAGTAGGCGTAATGATTTGTAAAAATAAAAGAAGAAAACTAAAGTCAAGTTACGTTTCAATAAACGATGTTAAATTTAATATAAATTTTTATTAAAAAAATCATCGGTATTTCATTACTTGTAATATGCTGTCATCCTCTATACCTGCCAATCTCTCATTTTATTAGTTTTTCTTTAACATTATAATATTTACTTTACGAATATATTTATCATATGAACCTATAAACATATTGAATTTAGAAGAAATCCAAATATCGTAGTTATATAAACCACAAACACCCAATGGATTCAGGAATAAACAATAATTAGTGAGCAAGTTTATCGCCCTGTTTCTGATCAACGTAAAAAGGATTGTTTAACTCTCTGAATTGATAAAAATGGGAGGACATTTTGATCAATTCCAAGAATTTGACAATCCTTTTGGGAACTCAAATAACATTTAAAAATCCATTTGACAGCTGATTAGTTGACTTCTACGACGACCAGTGTTTCAGAAACCGGGCATTAGACTAGAATATAATAAATTTTTACAAAAAAGATAGTTTAATGAAATAACAAATAATAAAAAACATTAAATTGACTTAAATTTACCTAGTAGAATTCCTTAGAAGTTTATAAAACATGGTGGAAAACGATTTAAGAGCCACTAAAGGAGATGTTTAAAATAGTGTCAATCTATCAAGTCGCATACCGGGTTGACATTTTCGTCATAACAGCAGTGGGGTGGGAAGTCTCCCTTGCAGGGGACTTGCGCCCGACGTCCGAGGGACTATAAAAAGTGAGGGCGCGTAATTATATAGTGCCACTAAACTAATTTCACGATACATTGCCGACGAAATCTGTGCTTGGCACCGCCTCGCCTGTCGGCAAAATGTGATTTTTCCCTCATAACGGTACGCCCGATTACTATTGTTAGGTGTGATTTCGTATGAATTGCTAATATCACACTACAACCCGATACGCAAATTGCTTTTACTGCAAAAATAACGTGGTGCTGTGAATGGTATTATGGGGTCCGACACCTTAAAAATAAGCTCGTACGGCCAATTGAATATTTTTTCAGTATAGAAGATTTGGACTATAATAAAATTACAAGTTACATTAATTTAAAGTCAAAATATTTGGCACGCGCACATTTTCCAGAAATAACTCGTAGCCATAAATATATTACAAATTGTAATCCCATATAGTGTAAATTATGTACAACTTTAAATGTTTATGTTGGAGGGTAAATTTGAATGAAAATATTTATAAAAAGTAAAAATAATAAGAAAAATATTCCCTATAAATTTGCACATAAACCCGTGAGTCAAATTACTATATCCCTAAATTTTTCATACGCGAACTGTCAATTTAACAATCTAATCAAATTTGCAATAGTTTGGCGCTCTTGTTATGGAAATTATTGGTGCGCAGTGTTCCTGGCGCTAACCACAGACAGAAATATATGTACCATTCACACATAACTGTTCCAGATATTCAGCCATCTATACATCCTCGTAGACTGATAGTTACTTATCAACAAATCATGAGTGCATTGTAAGTTGCAACCAGCTTGACGAGTTGCAAGTAGTTCGTCTCCCAAAGACTGAAGACTCCAACCGGAAGTTTGCGAATTTGTCAGATGGCTTCCTCGCCAACTTTGATACTAATGCTTGCATATTATGCTTAAGATTATTCATTTCAACGTTAAATGCAACAGCAATTAATGTATGAACATTTATAACGTAAATTCTCGCCCACTGAAAGCTAAGCAAAACAGTTTAAACTAAGTGACCTACATATAAAACTGTATAACACTTATGAAGTTTAAAAGAACAAAAGCCAAATAATTAATTGTATATTTGAAAATTTTGTTCATAGTAATGTGAAAAGAAATAATTCAATATCACTTTTAACATACCGGCATAACTAATAAAACATAACTAATACACAAAAAATATACAAATTGGCAAAGTCACCTCGCATTCGCTTACTGACTTTATCAGTTCCTTCTCCAATGCAAACTATATCAATCGAAAATATTATGGAATTCATTTCATTATTTTAACAATCGAAGGGGAGGCAGCATAGAGAAACTCTGCATCAAATGGCGGGTGCACAAAATGCGTTGTTGGGGCATGTAATGTCTCATTTCACGGCGGTCTCGCACACCGCCAGCGGTCTTCGTCTCCATTAAATAATTAACTACGCCGAAATCCCGATGTCGTAAAGCAACTTTGGCAATAAAACTTAGGCTTTAGTGATGGACTGTCATGTGAACCTCACAAAGTTGTTTTACTCCCACGCCTTGTATATCCGTGTGCTTTGCACATGACACAATTCTAAATAAAGGTATGCCTTATCGAATCGAATACATTCTTTATATATTCGTAAATATATCCCATGTAAAAGATAAATCAATCACTCTCCTCATTCCCATCTAATGTCTCAATGGTAAGGTAGGAGCGATACAGCGTGAAGAAAAGACATCTATAAAATCACCACAACGATCAAAGACTACAGGTATCTACATAGGTTCTATTGCACCAAGATATTTTTGGGCTACTTACATATATAATTCCGAAACTCACGGTGATCAAATCTCTATCGTAAAAGCAAATGTTTTCTGATATGTCTAATACAGAATCGGTCATAAGTTTGTTCCTTATTCCTTTGTTACTTTTACCTCTTACAATGATATTTCAGTGTCCGAGCGCTCGCTTTTAATTCGATATAGGGACTCGAACAAGGTGAGTTAAAATCCCGGTGATGGCACAATGAAACTAGTCACGTGCTCAGCTGTGAAGTTCACCTTCATGGTGAGGAAAACTGCACATTTTCGTAATAATAACAAAAAATTATTTCAGAGATATGTAAATAATACCCTCTGTACAGAGGAGGAATTTGCCCAGCTTATGTGTAGGCTGCTACTGAACTTTTACCATGCCCGTACTCCCCGGTATTTCTAAATTTGGTAAAATAACAGCAACCAATCTTTATTGCGGATCTTATCATTATTGATATTCAAAGTTCGTGTATTTGCATTATTTAATGGCACTCGTAATATGCTGCCGGTATCCATGACAACAGTAGTACTGGTAAGGTATGCCGCTTGGCCATTTGCTACCTTACCGTAGCGATATCAAAACTTAATAAGCCCCAAAAAGTTGAAGGGATCGCGTCACGTGCTCAGAGTTCCCATCACTAGAGTGAATGGGAGGCGGCGGGATGCAGCGCGGTGAGGTCAGGCGGCTAATCCTTTATTACATACATCGGCGCGGCCTGGGCTGCGGTGTCCCACTCTCGTAAGCGCATTACCCGAATTAACAATTAGTCATGCCTACGTCTGCCAACGAAGTTTGCACAAATTTACATAACAATGAAGCCCTTCGCGCTCCGCGCTGGGCTCTGGTGATTTTTAATATTAATTGGATCGCGATCGTGCACCGTGAAGCATTTGCACGTCCCGCACCAGACCCTCGCGCGCTGCGGTCAGGGGTCGGCAATTATGATGCGTCGTGTTTTTCTGTTACCCTGGTAAGTTAATATATATAAATATATGTAGAGGATAAAATAAATGACTGCCTTGCAATAAATTGTTCAACTGCTCTGAATGATTAAATAACTCTGCTCTGCGCAGCATGCGCTCTGAATGAAAAAATAAAGAATGGTAGCCGATATATAGTAGAGTAGCCGATAGCTTATGACCTCCTAAGCATTCTGCTTCGGGTTAGGGTTTCATGGTTCGATTCCCAAGAAGGGTTGACGTAAAAATACCTAGCCAATACGGCCATTGGTGATTCAAAGTAGTTTTTTTAGAATATAACATTAACAAAGTAACTATTGATTTCGCAGTAAAACCATCCCATATTTTTTTTATTTATAACTTGACTTTACTCTAAACACAGCATCGATCATTAAACGCTCAAAACAAGACATATACTTAGGGCTATTTGTTAACTACGGGTGAAATCAGCCTTAGTCTGCTGACGTTCATGCATAACCAATGTCTCGACCCACGAGAAAATAGTGCGTTGGTCGTCGGTAAACTACGAGTGCAGCACCTTAGGAGCTCAGCACGCAACACGCGTCATTCAAATCGACGCCGATAAAAGTGAACTGAATCGCTGTCCAAAAAACAATGCCGCGCAGATTGTTGCATTGTGTACGAACAAGCGACGTGTACCCTGAAGAATAGAGTCATTTGCCTCTAACGATATTAGCGAGCGTGACCCCCGCGCCGTCCGTTTTTGTTTGTTAATCCGCAGGAAAGGGCGTAACTCATTTTGTCATCTCGTAATTTAATTTCACCCGTGCCCCTTTACAAGTTCGGTCGTGTCTCGGCCTGCAGGCTCCGCCGGACACGGGGCATAGTAATTTATTCGCGTAATTTATTATCAGTTCATTTGCGGATAGTCGAATTAATAGTCGGCGAAATTTTAACGCAACTGTAGCCGTACCGCGTGCAACTTCGACCGCGGCGATATTTACGTATAAACGTATTACGAAGCAACATAAATTCCAAACTTTCCGTATCCCGGGCAATATAATCTCGTCCAGACCCAAACGTTATTTGAAAACTTTAATTTCCTTCCACAATAAAAAGCCCGCGAGGAGTCCCTTTCATAGGTAGCAGTAGGTATACATTTGGAAACGCTTAAAGTGCAATTTTACACGAGCACTTTTATTTATGACCCCCAAAAATGTAAAATGCAAACGTTTTATTATGGGGGCTCCATAAAAATATGAAGAACAAACAATACCTCTGTTATCCCAAGACAGAGGATGTCGGAACATATTTGTCCGTCTTCCGCGCTTTGTAGGGGGCCCCTGCACAAATCTTTGAATAAGAATGGACCAGGTGAACGGTGGAAGACAACATTTCACCTCGAATCCCATACTTCTATCTGTATCATAATTTTACAAAACATAATATGCAATGAAAAACAAAAACACTTCTCTAAACATAGAACATGAAAGGGCAATTAATTGAATTAAAATATGACAAAGAGTCGTTTCAAGACCCTTTGCAATAAATTCAAAATTCGTATGACTGATAAATTTGATTACTTAGCTCAAAAGATTTAATTTTGATAAATCAACATTCATTATCGCCGAAATTTGTTGTAAAATTCACTCCGCTTTCAATTTGGCCCGCCTTTGACTCATTCAAGAACTGAATTAAGTCACCAAAGAACTTGTACCTTGAACAAACAAAAGACTTATATTGATAGGTGTTTATATAATAATAAAATAAGGACAATATTATCGCCTCTTATTCCTAGACTATTCTATTCAAATAAATAGGGGTCGTTTCTCTCAAGGGATGGCGTTCTGCGAAGCCGAGTGTTGAACAATGTAAAATATTTAAGATGCAAAATTTTATAATAAAAATCGCCGAGATTACACCTTGTGTTCATTTATTTTTAATGCAGCGGCGAGAAGTGGGACATTTTTATTGCTCCGAGCTTCAGATTAGTTTTGTTCCGCGAATTTGATGCATATACAATGAGCTCTATTATCCGCCTCCCCGTGTGTGCTTATATTGTAATATAAATTTGAAATGAATGCGCACAACTTCTATTCCCCGATGATCTGACTGATTCGTGTTCCACCTGCTCAAATCCGCTCCAAGCTATCGTTGCCACATACCTCGTACAGTAATGAACAATTACCTATCTAGTGCAAAATTTTAAACTTGCGATATCGATCTCCCCCGGGCACAGGAATCGAGAGATACAACCCAAGTATGATTGGCATCGCCGATTGGGAATTTGGAATTCCGGGAACAAATCCGAATTAAAGCGGCATGAGTGACATTCTGTGTCGAATGCGAGCACAAGAGTGAAAATATGAACATGTGCAAAAAATATCGGGCGTGTGCATTTGGGAATTTCGCGCGGCTGAGAATTTAATGCGAGGGGAGCCTAATATTAAACCTCGGGGACCCATCACTTTTAATATTTGGCCGCTGTCCTGGAGGGATCCTAAATTATTTACCAAATGGAAAGGTAATGGTCGCGGAAGAGTGCGAATGAAGGTATGCAAATTTTATAAACACATATAGCCTACTACAAAACGTATTAGCCGTACTCCGCTCCAGTGTAATGAAGTATAAGAGCCCGCCAGAATGCCTCTGCGTCAATTTACATATCAGAACAAAGTGAGTTTTCTCGTATAACGAATATTAAAATGTATGTTTGTGCTCGAAACACACAAGACTTTTAGGAACTTTTATTTAATACCATATAAGTGTGTAAGGGAGTGAACTTTTAACTTGGAAGTTGGAGTAATTATTTTTATTGGAATGGAATATTATTTTCCATTCTCGTAACTTGATCTATGTCGCATCTTATCGCTCTAGTACAGTTTTAAAATAACCATTGGAAGTTTTTCCATTTTTACATTGCGCCTGCTATGTGATAGCAATATCCCATTTTGCTTAAGCATCAAGCAAGTTGATGATTCTATAAGATTTATCCGCACAATCAGTTAATAATATGTATGTTTACTTACGTTACGATTTAGAAATAATTTCGAACATAACCAATAAAAAAGCAATCGACTTAATTATTTAATAGTCGAGATCGTCCTATTGATCAAACACACCTGTATTTGGGTACCCGTGTTTTAATATCTAAGTCATTAATTATTCAACGGACGCAGAAGCAAACTTCATCTAAGTAGCGCGAGGGGCTCCAGCAATTCGGCCTTCGATTAAACTGCAACGACGCTCGGTGACGTCTGAAATGCGCATTCTGGCACCGTTGGGACCTCGACGCGAAAAATCCGCATTAACTCACGCACGTGTCCGCGTTTAGGGCGAAGGGGTGAGCAGACACGGGTCGTAAACAGTCACGCATCGCGGCGTGCCGGCTAATGACGGCGCGCCGGCCTGGCTTTCCACGGCGATACATCAGGAAGCACCCGCGCCGCTCGAACATTAGTTAGCACGGGCTACAATAAAAGGCTCTAGCGCTTTTAATCGCTGACGAGTGGACATAAGCTATTGCTACTATTTAAGCTAGTTCAGGTGAGCCTGTTGCCGAGACGAGTGCAGAAGCAGGTTTTTTTATGAAAGACGAAAACATAAGCTAGTTTAAGTTTCTCCGCAACAATGGAATGCGAGTCGTTATTATAATATTGCACATGCAAAGCATATTGCTTTGAATTTAACAAAACCCTTCACACAGCTTCTTTTATGTGAAAAGTTGGCAAGCGAGGAGCCGGTTCACTTGATGTCAAGCGATTCTTCAATACCAGAGTGGTTGTGGGTGCGTTTGCAACCTTTATAAAATTAGGCACCGGTTACCTCACTCGCCAGACAAAACGCGAAACTATTATACTTCAACTTAACGCCGGTTTTCTGTGTGACCGTTCCCCGAACGACTGGCAATGGACAGGCCATTTGTGCGAAAAAAAGAAACGTTGCCCTACCACAGAAAAATTGTCTTAAAAAGATGACTTGTGTATGTGTGTGTGTGTGTGTTTGATTCAGGGTAGAAACCTTACATTGATGTCACCGAATGATATCACAATTACATGTCATGAAACTGAAGCGCAATAAAATCCAATAAAAGAAGTTCTGGTCGTAGATAGCATTCGGGATACCGTTCATTACGCTGCATTATGATATATGATCGTAGAATCAAAGTAGCTCAGCGCCTGAGCGCTCATCGTCTAACATAATAACAGTATGACTCTTATTCATAATTCAAAACTACTGATATATTATTCAAAAGTATTAAAGGAAATTGTACGAGTGTGCTGGACTAAACGTTTAGGCCGTTAATTTAATTTATTAAAAATGTATGAGAAAACATTTGAATTGACAAAATTTTAGTCAACATATTTAATAAACAAATATACTACAAAACACATAATCGCTATTAAGACGGCAATGCTATTAAGAGTCTGCTTTAAATCTCTCCGAATAGAGGGGGCCGTTCCTATCCGTGTTAATACAGAATAATTCTTTGGGATATTACATTTTGAAATGTGTGTTACAAAGAGAGGTTATTCGTTGTTTTTATACACTAGTATACATAACCCATACAAACATACAGTATACGCCTCATTCTCTAGAAATTGTCTTGACACACATAAATCAGCACTTTATATACCTTTTTATATCTTACCTTTTTCCACAACTCTTACTCGTATTTCGTTAAGTCACTAAGCGCCGATTTGTATGAGTTTTTCACGTCGAAGAACAAGAAATCTCTTAGGTGTGTATTATTTAACATCGAACATTTCTCTGTGTGCTTCCCCCTCGCGTAGCACAAAAAGTACACAATATCTTACCATTACCGCGTTTTCGTTTTCCTGCAAGACAGACGTTGGGGTATAGTCACATGGATTATTCAAATAACAGCTCTTCCTTCCGCCTCACGTCAAATCATAAAGCGGATCTTCATAAATAAACAATGGAGTCATAAGGCACCTTTACGGCGCCAATCTTAATACGTACAATGTACGAAATGTGATGAATTTTTCAGTATACATAATACATTTTGTGACTTTTTGTGTAATATTTACATTTCATAAGAAAAATTAAATAATTTATAAAATTTCTTACAAGACAAACTATAATAATAGTTCTTCGATTATTTTATTTATTTCGGCAAATGTCGATAGATGCTGTGGAAGAACAAGTTGTTCTCTATATCAAGAACTTGTAAGCTGGATGGAGCAAACGTCAGTCACAACTAACATACTTGAAGCACCCAGCATGTGTTGCAACACCGTACAATAAAACAATATAAAAAGAAACATTCTTATTTTCGGGCTAGGAGCATTCACGGGCTTACCCCTAACAACTAACGAAAATTTCTTTTCAGCCGGATTAATGCCTTAGGAACGCATGGATGACAAACTTACGTTTATTTATAACATTAGAATCAGAATCAAATCATTTTTATTTCTTTACTCAAAAACTCAAAGGTCACGCAGTGTAGGTACCTATACTAAATGAGTACGCTCTATTTTACGTCAATAAAAAAGCAAGTATAAGTATTATCTATAATTAAATGTTTTTGGAAAATTGAGCAAGTTAAATTGTTATGCATTATTAAACTGTGCTAATCCTAATTATTCATTTAGTAACTTTTCATTGTGTAAATAATTGACTCAGAATATAAAAGTACTTGTACGGTTAAGTTATTTACATTTAAAATCTCTGCAACCATGTCTATAGTGCTTTACGAAGTTCTCTAAGCAGGTAATTTCATAATGCACTATAGACATGGCATGGCAAATACATGGAATGCGAGATATAACGTGCTTACTTGCCTAATAGTCACTGTTGTTACAGTTGAGCTGTGCCTAATGTTCCACACACTGTCGTGGTTAAATTATGGCTAAGGCGTTAGACATAAGGCCATTTTCTATACGACATTGTTACTTAGGTAGGTACATCTGAAGTCAAAAGAAAATTATTACAAAATTAAAAAAATATGCTAATAGGTTAATAATTCTTCCAATTAAATTGGACTAACATTCTTGCTTCTAGGTACCTTTTAAATGTTGCATCGCTAATTTCCCTTTCTTTTAATTATTAAGTTGTTAAAAATGAAATAATTAGCTTTTAAGGAATAAAAGATTGTTCTATGAATATCTATTTCAAATTTCGTTCAAGTTTTTGTGACGTGAAGAGATAAACTATATACTATTGGATACTTATTGGAAATGTGAAGTACGTACGTTTTTATTAAGAAAGCGAATACTGAAGACTTGGATATTACCTACATATTTAAATTGTCAGTTGTATGAAAGGGGCCCACTTAAGTTGAAGGTGTTAACGTATCCGTAAGTGTTACAAATGTCAATGGTTGGCAGTTTTCAGTTAACATCCGGTGAACCGCCAGTTCGCTCACCACCTTCTTGCATATGTACACATAAAAAAATGTGACTTTGAATAGTTCAGAATAAAACAAATAATCAAAAAATTTACGGTAGCTCCACCATTTCAAACCACACAAAGCAGGAAGTTGGGCCAATTAACCTTTTTTGACCAACTGATTCCTCGAGATGGGAAGGTAAAGAAACTAGGTGTTTGGTTCAACACCATCTTGTCGTTTGGTGACCATAATACAATGTAAGCAACAAATTCGCATTCGTTCCTGTTCGTCTGTATAATCTCACGAACTCTTTGAGAAAAATGGCCTCAGTACTAAGGTATACAAGGCTTGCGTGAGACCAATATTGACCTAGGCTTACATGTTTTTCGCGCATGTTTCACAAGTGAACCTGTTTTCTAGACTTGGGGGAAATGTCTGTACACCTGCAATCTCGGGGGCAAGGACGGGTTATGGCGCACACACACTGATTATTACCCTCACGATAATCCACTTAAGGTGTGTATTGGCAGGGACATGGTAACGCTATATATTTAACGCCTATTCTCCAGATTCGCTAGAACCTGCAGCGCTTTCTAGTAGACTCCTTTTTCACGCACAACCAACTGATATCGCAACACTCAGCGCAGTGCAGAAGACAGGGAAAGTGGATCTTCTTCTGGCAACCTTTGGCCTGTGCCTTTTCGGAGCGGCCCTCTCGGGTTGGTCTTCCACAGACCGCAGGGGCTTCACCGTGGGTGACCAAGCCACGACTGCTAAGCCCACCTGCCACGATAAGGCAGGAAACCGATCGAAGGGGCCTTCGTACCCTCATAACATACATCAAAAATAAGCCCACTTAGAGCGGTCCTCTTGGTCTAAGCACCCGCACGCAGCTGAATAAACTTCAAATAGTGTCAAATAAATTTAACAGCACGGAAAGAAACCGAAGAATATATGAATCAGCACAGCGGCTGCATGCTCCCGACGCGAACACTAGAAAAATAACAAAAAAGTGCTTCGAAGAAGGCGAAAATCCCCAATTCTCTTGTCATAAACGCAGTTAATTATCATCCGGACTCTACCGTGAACAAGCGTCGTTCGCGTAACGTTTTAACGTTCGCGTTTTAACCAACCCGTTGTTGGAACAAGGCGAAAACGATAAATAATTTAGTGTGTCCCATGACCATGAAATCCGTATAGCGTTTGAAACACCATGAATTTATATTATTTAACCGATGGGAACCAAATACAACGCTTCGGTTAAACTATATTGTGCAAACCACCAGCTTCAAAAGCTTTACATAAGCAATGCAACATAGAGATATGCCGAAAATGAAAAAGAAACTTATTGGTACCAGGGTAACCCACTTGCTCGTTTGCCTCTTTCTATACAAAAAAAAATCCTCAAGCGAATTTATATAAATTAGTAAGTCCGCTTCGCTAAATCAGTTGAGTAGACTCGAAAATTAGGAACTATGTTCAGGTTTTCTAAAATTTTAAAAGAAAACCTGTTATAATTACTTAGGGATAATTTTATAACAACCTATTTAATAAGATATAGTAAGACATTTAAAACATTTTAATTGACAAAAATCAAAAAAAAAATCAATAAACATGTTTTGCTAACTTGATGTGAATTTTAGTCGTTGCAGTAGCCCCATTTGCTAATTGGTGGACTGAAAAGGTCTACAGACACGTGGTATAACTGCATAACAAATTTCATTAGTTTCGGCGCCGAATTAAAGGCGAGAAACTACACACACCAACACCTTGCAGGTATGTAATTTCGAAACGTTACCAAATGGGTTTTAAACAGGCATAATGAGTAAAGGGCAAAATATCGACCAAAGGCAAAAATTATTTCAAAAATTGCAATAAATAACGATGGTTTCGAGACAGTATCAATTAAATACATAAAATTTTCCAAAGAATTCTTCCTGTTACAGTTATTGTGGATACAAATTATATCGATATTAAATTTATACGTTGTAGCAGAATAAAATCCAGCACTAAAATAAAGAGACACATGAAAATTAAATAACATCGAAGCCAGGTTAGATACAACCTCATTCAACTGCACGCCCTAAGCATTCGTTTACATTTGC